GGAATGCCTCTGTCTGCAGTGGTCTCTCGGTCGGGATCAATACATCAACACAATAAAATGTTAAATACTTTTAATTTCTGGAAGTACAGGGATCAATATGAATCATCTCTTTCTAAAGAACCAGGTAGGCTCCTGACTTAGAAGCTGATTCCAGGTACTTTAAAAAAGTTTTCCTGAAAGTAAAAACCAAAAAGCATCCTTCAAAATGATTGGCTGATAAATACAATCCAAGCAGATGTGCTGAAAAGATCTGATTACAGGATCGTCTTACCTAAAAGCTTACAATTAACAAATAGTTGCAATAATTTATACATTTATATTTATAGTAGTGGGTCTGCGTGTGATTATACCCAGTATTAATCACTGTGAAGACAGATTCACATTCTAGAGAAATGCTACTCACTGTGTTAGCAAAGGAATGAAATCGAAGTAAAGCAAGAACAATATTGTTCACAGTCAGAATTTCCTGCAGAATTGTTTGTCTTGATCATTTGTGCCACTGCTGTGCCAGTGGTTTTTCACTTGGAGTGTGAATGTTGCTGTCACTGTTTTCAATCACTGCGTAATTCATCAAATCACTCCGTAGTTTCTCTGGATGTTACTTCTCTTAGGTAAAGCACCACTGCATCCTTTGGGTGCAGGTCAGTTCTGATCCTGTTCTTATGGAATGCTCTTGCTAACACCCCGCTACCTTCAATACGTACGGGAAAGAACCTCTCATCATTTGCCAGGATCTCTCGCTAAGAATATGAGGCATTAACATGGTAACCAGCAATTGCCCCTGGGATGATCAAATGTATTTATTGTCCTTCTGTTGCAGCCTAGTGTTTGGTTGCTCTAGTAAGCAAGTGTTGCTTGCATCAGATGCTTTGGAGCAATATGTAGAGGATTCCTTATGGGATATCCTCCCTACAGAGTACAGTTCTTTCTAACATCTGTTTATGGTTGATTTGGATATGCTATAAGGCATAAGGCTTTCATTTTTTGGTAGTACTTTATCCTGCTCAAAGTAGTGTAGACTCCTATCTTTACTTCTGTAAATGCCTCTTCTTTGTAATGTGTTGGTCCCTGCCTTGATCATATCATCTTGTAAAGTTTTATGGGTAAGGCAGATAAACCATGAGCACACTTGGTCAGGCCGGAGGTTTATTTAGGCCAATAACTCTGTTGCTGACAAAAGTTAATAGTGACTATATACAGAACTTGGGCTTCATGATACTGACACAACATGGTCTCCCAAACCAACAGCAGCCATTCAAAGAATTTACTTAATCAAACATAGTTTTGATACACTTGATACATTAAATAGTCCTTGATTTTTTTTTTTATTAATTTGTCCAGTAATTTTTTTAACCCATGTAATCTTTTCGTAAAACCATTCTGCAACAAAGATTTCTGCAGCTTAACGACACAGCGTTAAGAACCATCTCCTCCTGTTTTGAACTCATGCTAGTTACTTTTAATGACCTCTTGGTTTTGTACTGGAGGAAAGAATACCTGTCTTCATGAAAATCTTTGTTGTCCTTTTCCTATTTAATTATGTGCTTTGTAATGGGCAAGAGAGGGGAAGGATGCACCGTCCCTACTCGGGGTAGTAAAGCTGTGGGTATACCACAGAGTTGTACAGTTGCATAATTACATTTCGGAAGTCTTTTCCTAATCATGCCTAGCATTTGCTTTTTTTTAATGCTACTGAGCACTGAACCCATGTTTTCATTGAACTATTTTAACCTCAGGGTCTTGTTCTTGAGTTGCAATTTCCTGCTCTTCAATGCATATTGTCTTAAGCTTTCCTAAAATGTTACACATTCCTTTCTAATGGTATATAAGGAAGATAGTAAATGCGACTGGCCTGCCAATACTGTTATATAAAAGAGTACTATATAATAAGGATAAAATATTCTTGTCTCCGAACTTCTGTAATTGGCATTGTCAGTATTTGAAATGGATGAGACACTCTCATTGGCATCCTATCTGCCCATCTCTTGAGTTTTTCCAGTGCAGGGGGGCAGGAAATCACAGTGTATTTAAGAAGAGGAAAAGAAAAAATTGAGGAGCAAGCATCTCATTCCAGGAAATGCACCCTGTCTTGATATGATTAGTTGTGATGCTTAAGGGGATTACAGTTGCATTTGACTGGAAGGACAGATTTTTATTAATTAAAATTAAATAAACAATGAGCATTCCAGTTTTCTCAACAGTCACTGAGGTACTGGTATTTAAATACTGATTTGTGCGGTTCGTAAAGCGATGTTGAGTAAGGAAGAAACAAAGACATATTTTAGTGTGGTTTTCTGTAATACACTGACACTTTGGAAACATCACATGCAAGAAAGAGAGGATGTCAAGAAACTCTTCTGTTTTTCTTCTGAACTATGCCAAAGTACACAAAATACTTAGCAGAACATGAGTTAAGGACTGACTTAATTCATATTAATTAATTTAAAATTGTATTTCTTCATTATTCCTTGTTATCTTTTCCTAAGTCTATAACATGAACTTGTTTGCTTAAGCAAACACTTCTGTTCTATTGCATAGTCACGAAGAGTGGAATCATCACACCCCCATTTCAAACAAGTATCAGGTTCCTTCAGCAAAGCCAGTAGTTTAGGTAAAGTATTTCATGAACTCAGTAGAACTGGTGCTTTTTCTGACTTCTAGCAGGTTGGGGATTTAAATCGCCACTTGCATTGGTCACAATTCTGTGAGACTAAAGGTTTAATAACTGTACGAAATCATAGATGGTTGTTGCCACTGCGGTTGGTGGGAACACATCTTTCTTTTTTTAATATACAAAGCTGAACACAATTCCCTATCAAAGGGAAGTGACCATACTTAGAGTGCAAGTACAGCACACAGGCTAAAATCACGGCTCTGAAGAACTGTGGGGATCTGTTTCTTACTTGTCTCGCTCACTCTGTAGAGCTATGGTAGCACGATAGTGACTCACCATTCACCTTCAGATCCCTTTATGCTGCGCCAGAGCAACAAAAAGCAACTTTAGAGCAAATGCATACCAGGCCTTAGGTGTCAAGCCTGGTCCTCACAGAGCAGCATTTCCCCTCCAAGTACTCCCAATTATTTTTGGAGTTCACAGAAGTGATGGTAGAAAGATGCGATTTTTATTAAAAATACTGTGTTGTTAAAAGTATTGAAATGGGAGAGTTTTCTGTAAGACATTGTTATTTTCCTGTTCCCACTGATACAGAAGATCTGCAGATCAAGTTTAGTAAACTCTGGATGGAACACAAAACCCCACAGATAGCATTATAAGATAAAGCATAACTTCATATAAAAGTTAACATCTGTGTTTAAATTTGCCCGTGCAAATATTAAATGTTAATGCAGGTATCTTCTTAAAAAGAAATCATAATCTCTTAGGAATTGAAGGGAAGGAATTTGTTTAGAAATACTGCTAAGGCAAGCCCAGCAGTGTGGGGAAGCTGAGGGTTACTCTGAGCTGCTCCAATTTCTTTGTTAAAAACCTTCACCAGAGGAATGAACTACGCAGCCTGACAGAGCTGCAGTGAAAGGCAGGGCCACACTCGTGTATAATTTGAACGCTCCTCAGCAAAGTATTAATCTGATGTCTGAGTCAAGTTGCTGAAATGCTTTCTTAATTGGTCTTTTCTTAATCTTCAGTGTCCAGACCAATCGTGCAAACAGGATTTGTTGGCTTACCTAGAACAGATCAAGCTGTACTCCCATCAGCTCAAAATCTGCAGTCAAGTTAAAGCAGAAATCCAGAACCTAGGTGGCGAGCTCATCATGTCTGCTGTAAGTAGAAGAATGGTATAAATTACTTCGTTAATCAAAATAAATCTTAAGAGTTGTGCTTTCCTGTGCCTGGGAGATGTTCCAGTGTAGTCCTGAATCTCGTTTTATTCCCCACTGTTTTTACACTTAATGCAGAGCAGCTCAGACAGTGAAGTGTAAGACTGGTGGCTCAAAAGGAACAGAAATCGCTTGCAGTTTTTGTTGTTTGTTTTTTTTTTTTTCTTTTAAATTCTCAAACCTGTTACTCTGGAGTAATTTGGTTTTAAGAACTGTGACCCATCTTAAGATGGTAGTTTATTTACTTACATATATGGAGTATGCATGTATGTGTGTCTATACACAAAAAGAAATCCCCAGAGATGGACTTCAGAAGGAAAAGATGAAGGACATTCTACATCCCTACGGAAGTGAAGGAAATTTAGAACAAGGTGACTTGATTCTTGAGTAGATTTCTTGGTTTTGCATTAATTTGTGTCATGAGCTCCATTACAGCTGAGTATCATTAGCCATGGAAAAGATACTGTTTGTGATTTTGTGGAACTTTAATGCACGTGTCCACAGCACAAAACTGATCACGGGCATTCATATAATGCCTTCACCTTCATGTATTCTTTGGTTATTACTGCTATTACCTGTACCGTATGGGATTATGATTTCAAGACGTAAAAACTGCTGAATGGTACGAAACCCAGGTAACAAAAGCTTCCCTCCCCACATTCTTACCATTTAAATACTTTCCTCATTACGATAACTTCACATTTCACATAGTCTTGAATTTATATCAGTAAAACTATTAGTACATTTTATACGGTTTATAAAATAATCAGAAATGAACACTATTGCTGATTGTGAGATTTGAAACCCATTTCAGTAGGATTTTTGTTGCCTATTCAAATGATAATTCAGAAGCCATATTTAAACCTCTGGAACTTACAGATGAGTAATTCTGAATTGAATGTAAACTTTCTGAAGCAAATACTTGTTTTCTCTTGGGTTGTAAATTAAACAGGTTTATCTTTATTATCCATTTCTTTTTACAAGCAGTTCCATGAGCGGCGTGGGTTAATAAAGCCAGGTTTCATTGTTTCATGCCCTTTGTGTACACATCCTCTGCTGTCAGAGCTGTCAGCTCCCCCGTGTTGCCTGTGACCTGCCTCCAGTGGTCCCACACCAGAAATCCCCGTAGCCCTCTGTGCTGAGGCCGTGTTTCTGTACTTTGTCCTCCCACTCACCTGCACGTAAACCATTTGCATCTCCTTTGAGCACTAGTCCTTTTTGCCCCAACTTCCGTGCTTCTAACATGCTTCCCCCATCAGGATAGACAGATAGCTAGACAGACAGACAGATAGAATGAGCCTCAAATTGGCTGTAAACCTCCCCCAAAGTCCGCTACAGCTGTGTAACAAGGAGCAGTGGTGCAGACGGTGCAGTCCATGCAGTCCACGCTTTGGAGCCAGCAAGAATTGGGCTGTCTCTGTCTTGTCTTGTCTGGGACCTCTCATTTGGGACTCTCTTTTTTCTCTGTACAGTCTCTGATTTTGTCATCTGGTAAAGATTTATTATTTGTCTTTTGGCATTCTTGTGTATCTGTGAAATCCGGAAATCTAAGATTAGCTAAGTAGTACGTTTAAAAGTTACTGAAGGACTGACAAATGAACAAATGCACGACATAAACAGATAAACCTTACTTGCTTACAAAAAAAAGGTAAAAGATACAGCTTCTTGCACATCACAATGTTTGTCTGATTTAATTGTCTACTATACTACTTTGGCGAATTTGGATTCACATGGATCCTTGACCTACAGAAACCTGCATTATGCCTGATAGACGCAATCTGTAATTTTCCTGGTCCTGCTTCCATTACTGAGCGCGCGTGATTGGTGGTCTCACTGCAGGACATTTCGGAAGCCCAGTTTGGTTCTTGCTCTTTTTTGCTCCTGCTGTAATGATATTCACATTGGGTTTTTTATCATTTTATTGTATCATCACCCATATGCTAACAGTGGGAAGTACATAATAGTGGTGCAAAAATTTAGATTCTAAAAGTGAAAAGCCAAACTTAACTTCATTCATACTCCCAGAGGGATAACGACTATAGCTCTTAATCCTGTTTCAGGGAAGGAGGATGAAGACATACATTGCGTGTATCCAGAAGTTCCCATTCAGGAAGGCAATTACTTGTTCTAATAAATGCTTACCTCAGTCCCAGTTCAATAAACTCACTTAACACAGGTGCTTAGCTTGGAGGCCATGGAAGCTAAGAACATGCTTAGAGCCCTGGACACTTTTGGAAGTGTTTTGTGGAGTCAAAGTGAGATGCTGTAAATTCTGGTGGTTACTGTGTTAAAGCAATCTTAGAAAATGCTCCAACAGTGACTGTATTTTTTTTTTAATATGGTAGATACGGTTAGGCCTATAAAAGAGAAGAAGATTTTATAAATTTTTTTTTAAAAGGGTCTCACTGGTCTAAATGTCCTGTTTTTGGGAAGGGGAGGGCATTCATGATTGACTGTGCTCAAATGTCGCTTTTCAATTAAAATTGTGGTTATGTGAAAATGCAACCAAACCAAACCGTGATGGCTTCCCTATAGGGCTTGTCCTAATCTATATGTAAATGAACTATTTGTGTTTGACCTGCTTCAGTTTTAGGAGAATATGGGAATTAAAAATATGTTGTATGGAGAAAATGATAAGCAGAGAGGGAGAAAAGTTCACTACTGATACAAAATGGCTGATTATCAAATTACTTTTTTTAAAAGCTGGAGAAAATTCTGGCTTTGAAAGTCCATGTAGGGTCTTCAGAATTTGATCATGTAGGTTGGCTGGCCTTGGAAAAAGTGACAAAACAAAATTCTGCTTAAGAAAGCGCAGAGGTTCTCTCTTCCCCCACCCCCCCCCAAGCCCCACACACCCTCAGACATTCGCGCACACACACAGAATATCTGGGAGCACAGCAAGGAAAAAAACTACAGAAAATACATAAATACATGGACAGAACATCTGTGCCCTCGTGATCTGTCAGGTATCTGCTCAGGCAGCTGAATTTCACTTTTCTAGCCAAAAGTGGGTTTTGGTTGGTTTGGGGTTTTTTGGTGGTTTTTTTTTTAATGGTCTATGCAACACTACTAAACCTTCAGATTTTGCTCACATAAAATCGGTAGCAAAGTTATTTTTTCAAGGAGTCAGAACTGTAGCTGGAATAGGATTCTGTTCTCCCCAGCCCTGATATTCTTGTATTTATCTGTTTATGCCAATGAAGAATGAGAATCGGACATCAGGCAGGATTAAGAAAAAAAAGAGGGCATGCCCTTACAGATAGTGACCTTTTCATTATGTAATAAGAAAATAACTGTGAGTCTTAAAATACCTGAAACTGTATCCTTCCTCTGGATAGCGAAGATCTCCTACAGGAGAAAGCGTATTAGAAAGGGCATTAGGAGATACACATACTTACAGGTTGCTCCATTTTTTGCTTTCACTGTTTCCCCTGCAATTTCTTTGTCCTGCGCCCATGTGCATGTATGCTTGAGACTGAACTCCCTGATTTATGGTCATCCCTCAGCTGCCTTTTGTCGGCTCCTGGCAGTTCCCTTGCCTCCTGTCCACCTCACGTGCAAACAGAAGAGCTGAGGAGGAAAGCTCCTCTCCTGTGAGAAATGACAGATTTCCACATTCAGATAGTTAATATCAACTTCGATGCTGGCGAGTCAACTTTGCTGTACAAAGTGAGAATGGGCAAGCAAAAGCACACAAATCCACACAGAAAAGCAGTGTTGTACGATGGAGGATGGCACTTACATCCACCCACAAGGATCTCGGATTTAAATCGGCCTCAAGGAATTTTTAAGTTTTTTTCTCATAAAAATAGCTGTTCATGAAAAAAAAATCCTCTAATGAAGCCTAAAGACCAAATCAGAGGAAAGAATAGAGGGATGAAGAGTGGAGGATGTAGTCTTAGTCTAGTACATATTTGTAGATCTGTAAGAAAGAGAACTGTTGGCTTGAAATAGAGCAAAGTCACACCATCTGTCTTACCAGCAGCCTCTTCTGGATGAAGCTATGGAGGAGAAAGTAAAGTAGACATAAAATGGCATTACAGATTAACCTTTTGTACTACTATATAACAGTGGTCAGAAACGCCACCAGTACAAGGGCAGGAAAATGGATTCTCATCCACAGAAGCGCTGTACCTGAGGAGGTACTGGTGACTGCCAGCATAGTTCAGTTCAGGACTTATTCCCATGACAACAAAGAGGATTATGCATATGAAAAAGTATGATGTTGTCCTCAAACACAGCTCATCGCCATTCATTCTCTATATCACAGTATATCGTTGTCTTTCTTCAGGTGTTTTTCATCTGCATCCCCTGTGGCCTTGTCCTTGTCTTCCCTGTAACACTGCTCTGACAACCTCCCTTACTTAAAATTCATACCCCTGCCACATCCTTACTGTAGGGTAAGTAGGCCGGTTTGCCAGGGGCAGCTGGAGTGCTTCGGGGGTGCCCAGCTCGTGGTCCTCCTAACCGCACTCCTCAATTAGTGGCTTTCTGACTTGAGGCCATATGATCTTGAGGTCTCCTGCCGCAGTTCTGTGCTGCCTGCCTTTCTCACTGCTCTTCCCCAAGCTCCAGCACCTTCACTCTCGCCGTTGGCAGAATAACGCTCAGAGCCCCAGTTATCGTGGTTATAAAGGGCCATGGACAGAAAAACCAAGGAAGAGCTGTGTGAATCATTAGCTTCTAATTCGTCACTCACCGTGGTTTTGATTTTTTTTCATTCATTAAAAATTCATTGACAGTATTCAGTCTTCCTTGCTGCCATAAAATACTTAAGTTTTTAAGTAACACAGTTAGCATTGCCAGTTTGTAAGCTGCACAAGCAAAACCAGTGAGGATTCAGGAAGGCTTTGCTAGGTGTGATTAAACAGGAAACGGGCAATGCCTTCTATTAATTAGAACTAATTTATGCCTCTTCAGGCACAAAATAATGGGGTAACATT